AAACAAGCATGGCTACGAGGTAGGAACAAGAAACAGAAATTGCAGGCATCCAGTAGGAAAAACACTTCCATAAAGCAGCCCAGGAAGAGCTGGGCAGAATGACAGACATTTATCATTCTCAGGTTTCCCTGAGCTTCTTATGGAGAAGCTGCTTCTTGGCAAGCAACCTGACCGTCTATAAGGTGTGCAATGGCTCTGGTGGTGACCTGGCTTCCTGACACTATCAGCTACTTCACCCTGAATCCGAACTTTTTTTACTGGGGATTGAACTCAGGCCCTTGCGTTTGCCAGGTAAGCGCTTATTCCACTGAGCTATCTCCCCAGGCTCTGCTTGCTTTGTTTCATGCTTGCTTTTCTATAGCTCAACAACTTCCCTCCTTTTCCTCTTTGTCCCCAATTAAGACTGCTCTAGTGGCTCAACTGGAAGGCCCCAGTTCCCCTTCTCTGCCTATTTTTTTTTTTTTTTCTTTCTGTATCTTAGGGAAGGGTCTACAGCGTTGTTCAGGGTCTCACTACTAGATTAGACTCGTAGTGATCTGCCTGTTAAACTGCCTCCCAAAAGCTGGGATTACAAGTGTGTGCCTCCACACGAAGTCTGGTTTTTTTTTTTTTTTTTTTGGCAGAACTGGGGATGGAACTCAGGCCCTTGCACTTGCCAGGGAAGCACTTACTCTACTGAGCCATTTCTCTGGCCCCACCTAGTCTGTTCTTTATTTTTTTTATTTTGCGGCACTGGGGACTGAACTCAAGACCTTGTGCCTTCCAGAAAGATATTTATACCACTGAGCCAACTCCCTGGGCCCTCTCTGCCTATTATTGGCCAAAGGAGAGTAACAGTGTAAATGAGTCCAGGAAAACACCCAGATGGTGTCTTGCATTTAAAAATCCTCAAGATGCTGGTCATCAGGCAGATGGACAGCCATTATAGTTCTCTGAAAAACTGGTTTCTTGTCTCTCCTTTCCAGATTGTCATGTAACTTTGAGGAAAAGGAGGAAGTCTGTTGGACACACATCTTGGGCACTTGGTCTTAATGGCAACTTATTTCTCAGCTTGTCATTTAGGGGATTCTACCTTACTTTGGATCTGGTTTCATCCTCTTTTGTGAGTGTGGTGGTTGAAGGCACTGTGACTTTCTCCTTGTCTTCCTGCTTCTTGGGAATCAGTGAGCAGGAAGCCAACTACCATGGGTTTTTTTTTTATTATTATTATTTTTTATTTTGTGTGTGTGTGTGTGTGTGTGTGGGTGGGTGTGGCCAGCTCAGCCCACGAGGGGGCGGGGCTGGCTGGCATGTGGTGCTGGGGGATTGAACTGTGGTCCCTGTGCTTTGCTAAGCTTGTTCTAAGTAGGTGCTTTAGACCACTGAGCCATCTCACCAGTCCAACTACCATGGTTTGAGGACACTACTGCTGCCAGAGGTGACAGCTACGTGGGGAGAAACTACAACACCATGCCAACAGCCACCAAGGGAGTTTCCAAGTAGCTTCTCTAGCTCCAGATGACAGCAGCCTTTGACTTCATCCTGAAATTCCATGAAACCCCACACTAGACCCATCTTCCAAAACTGCTCCCAATCTACCCTTCAATTTTTTTTTAAAGAATTTAGGACAGGGTCTACAGGGTGTTCAGGGACTCACGACGTAGATTGGACTCATACTGATCCTCCTGTTTTCATCCTCCCAAGTGCTGGGATAACAGGCGTGCACCACCATGCCATTTCTACCCTTCATTTTTTTTTTTTTTTTTTTTTTTTCCCTTGGCGGAACCAGGGATTGAACTTAGGCCTGGCAAGTACTTATTCTACTGAACCATCTTCCTGGCCCCTTATACCCTTCAATTTTATGATATTAAATTTGGAGGTAATCTGTCACACAACAATAGATAAGACAGAAAGAAGCAAAATTCTCTGGCTTGGAGGCACAATTCCTACAAGCCAGCATCCCTATGCCCATGCTCCTAAGTAGACACACATGTGAACAGAACATGTGCGCTAAGAACTCACTGTGAAGAAGGCAGAGGGGGCTGGGGAAATGGCTCAGTAGGATAAGTGCTTGACTGGCAAACGCAAGGATCCGAGTTCAATCCCCGGTTCCGCCAAAAAAAAAAAAAAAAAAAAAGAAGAAGGCAGAGCCACAACACTGACAGCCCCTGCTACAATGTGGAGGGAGGCGGTTTCTCCTGAAGAATGTTTATTCCCAGAAGTACAGTTGCTTCATAAAAACATAATGGTCACTAAGATTTTAAGAACTGCCTCCCTCAGATAGTAACCTCAGACAGAGGGAGGTACTCCTATCCCAAGAAGCCAGAATGGGTTTCACCTCTGAGGGTCCCTCTGAACACCTAGAGGTAAAACCACCTATCAAGACTCTTGGCTTAGGGGCCGGGGAGATGGCTCAGCAGAATAAGTGCTTGCCTGGCAAGCACAAGGGCCTGAATTCAATCCCTGGTTCCAAAAAAAAAAAAAAAAAAAAAAAAAAAAAAAAAAAGACTCTTGGCTTGTTCTGAAAACCATTCTGTGAGGCATGAGGTAAAGGCATGGCCTGTTGGAAGCTTTTCTCTGCATTGTGCCATTATTTTTACAATGCTGATTTACTGAGGATAAAGTATATGTATGTTGGCAGTGGTGGCCTCCAGGAAAGACCTGCACCAAGCAGTAAGAAGTCATGGCAGAGCCCCGACAGGATTAGGACAGCTTGTACACCATGCAGTCAACACTCCCAAGAAATATTAAAAACACAGCTTGTGATTAGAGAGAGGGAAATGTGTCTTGCTACTACTTAAACTCTATTCATTGGAGGTCAGCAAGGAAGCCAGCCAAGCTTTTACAGACAGCAAGTGGCAAACACTCCAAATACTCTGCCGCTGACAGACCGCCAGCTGCTAGTCAACAGTCAGATTCCACAGACGCCACTGCCAGTGTATGAAGAACGAGAGGCTTTATTCCCAAAGAACCAAACTCAAAGGTACAGAGGTCTGAGCAAGCTTGTTAGATGAATGACAGCACAACTTACGTTTTTCCAAGACAAAGTAAAGCAAAATTTGAAGTTTAATTAAAATAAGAGGGATACATTAAACAAAATATTTTCTGATTACTGATTGTGAGACTCAAGCACCCCCAAACATTGGAGATCCAGCTTATTCCTGAGAGACATCAATCATCACAAGAGGTTTTCACTCTGAACTATTCACATTTTATAGCAAAAGACAAAATAAAATTCTGCAAACACCTTCTCTTTGTAAAATGTCTTCGCAAATTCGTTTTCATAATTCAAAAGAAAAACAGCATTTGTTCTTATTTCTTAGCCAATGGGCCTATTACTCTCCCCTTGGAACCTCTTAATAAGAACCCAACCAGAAATGTCCAGGACACCAGTGGCTGCTCTACTTGTCTTCCCCTGAAGGGCTAATGTCTGCCTTTCTACAGGAGAGTCCTCTTCTGGGGTTACTGTGCCAGTCAGCAGTACCAGGAGAGTGGGGAGAAGGGCAAATGGAAGAGCAAAAGGATAAGAGTGAGGCTTTCTTGAAACAACCCACAGCAAGGCAGAATGGTACAGTTTTACAAACCACCTATTCCAAATTCCAAACACACACATCCAAAACCCAAGGGCAAGGAAAGAGCTCAGCAGAAATTTGAGGGGGTGGGCAGAGGACCACAAAGGACAATGACACCGAACAGCAGACTCAGCCACGGAAATTTCTTACCTTCCTAACACTGGAAGATGTTTAAAAAGTTGCTGTTCACAATTGTATTGAAAACATATCTAAAAATAGGTCTGTAGTCATCTTAAAAATAAAATGTCACTCTTCACATAAGTGACAGATATTATCAGATACCAGCTCTTGAGGTATCTCTGATGTAGGTTTGAAAAATGGCCTGGCAGAGGAAAGGGAAGGAAAAAAAGAGACATGGAAGAGGGGAAGAAAGGAAAGGGAGAATTCACTGTACAGTGGAATGGCTAGAAACCTTGGAGGAACACTTTTAAATCCATGCTTATCGGGGCCGGGGAGATGGCTCAGTAGGATAAGCGCTTGACTGGCAAACGCAAGGATCTGAGTTCAATCCCCGGTTCCGCAAAAAAAAAACCAAAACAAAAAAAAAAAACAAAACAAAAAACAAATAAATCCATGCTTATCTATTTCAGTAGCCAAACAAAGCAGATTGAAATAGGCAAAAAAAAAATGTAGTTTTTCCCTAAGAACATTTCTAAAAGTCAACTTTAAATTTAAAACATAAGAAATTGCAAGTCAAGATAACAAATAGCACAGTGGTCAATGGATTTTAAAAATTGACTGGGACTGAGTACTCAAGCTGCTCAATGGTCTTTTGGTATTGTCCAGCAGAACCCAGGGCCAGGCTTTCCCCATCAAGTGGAAAGCAGAGGGTCTGTTACTGCCAACTGTCCTGCTCTGGGAGCAGATAAAATCACCTGAATAGCTCCTAGTGTGAGAGGACTCTGAGGCAACAAGATGTGGGCAGAGAAGAGGCAGAAGAACAGAGAACAGCTGGTTATGGAGGGCTGACTTTACAAATATCTGTACAAATGTGCAGAGTACAGGAATGGGAAGAGAAACTACAACACTAAAGACAGAAGACATTCCTCCCAAAGGAAAGAGGGGATGCAGATTTACAAACAGTATCACAGAGCAATGCTACCAAAGTTGCATAAACTTGTGCTGCTCGGTCCCTAAGGACAAATACCTCAGGTAAAGGGGGAAGCAGCTTTCTATCATTTCCCCCTGCTGCTTTTAAAGACCCAGAACCCTGGTTCTGCCAAAACAAAACAAAACAAAACACCAAAGAGACCCAGAACCCAGCACTGAACCAGGGGTGGGACACGAGGAGAGACAAGAGTAAAGAACATGAAGGAAGAACCTGCCAAACCTTGGTATCCCTTCCCCACATTTCTAGGTAGGGAGCTGTTGGCAGGCTGATACGAGATTTGAGATGAGTTTGAGGAGGAATAGGGCAATTCTCAATAAGGATAAGACAAGGAAGGAAGGCAGTGTAAGTGTTATCTTCCATGGACAGCTTAGCTCTACAGAAATGCCTCTAGTGCCTTCAAACTGATTTGTCCAGCTGGGCAGAGGACAGGAAACAGGAGAACAAACAGCCAGATGCAGCTCATCTTCTTGGCACTTGGGGAAGAGGGGAGGTGGGAGTAGCCCTAGAGGCTGCTGGTTCTGCCTGTCTTCCCACTGCTGGTCCTGTGGATCACATCAGGGTTGCTGCTTTCCTTCAGTTCCTGCAGCAGGTCAGATGTCCATCTCAAACTGAGAATCATCCCCTGCTTAGGAGAAAATGAGGTTTAGCACAAAAAGGAAAAGCAAAACAGTCTTATGTGGCATTCCCTATACAGAATGGTAAAAAAAAAAAAAATAATAATAATCATCTCTGTCGTTCTCTGCTGCCTTAGGGAAATTAAAACACAGTGTTGCTCTTTTTAATCTGAAAAATAACATCAGCCACAACAACCACAGAGAACAACACTTGAGAAAATGGACATAAGTGAACTTCCTCAGAGCCCCAGAGCCCCTGTCCCTAAGCTGACCACATAGCAGCTCTGAGCAGCTCGCTACCACTCACTCACCAGGTGCAAGCACACGACCCTGGAGGCCCTGCTCTGAGCCCACACTTTCATGCACTCAACTGGTCTCAGCTCCATGGGAGGCTAAAGAAGGACAGCAAGTTTCAGGCTAGCCCAGGCATCTTAATAAGGTCCGATCTCAAAATGAAATTTTTTTTTTTTTTTTTGCGGAACCGAGGATTGAACTCGGGCCCTTGCGCTTGCCAGACAAGTGCTTATTCTACTGACCATCTCCTTGGCCCCCGAAATAAAATTTTTTTAAAGGTTTGAGGATGTAGTTCAGTGACTGCTTGCCTAGGATTATCTTTAGGCCCTGGTTCAAGCTCCAGTGGGGTATACAAAACAAAACAAAGCAAAACAACCAAAACTCAACTGGAACTGGAGAAAACATAATGCTGGCTTAAGCCTAGCATCCCCAAGAGCAATCACTGCAGTCTCTTCGAGAGCAGGCATCTCCACACCAGCACTCTGCTTCCACAGAGAGAAAGGAGGCTCACTAATGATAAAACTGTGAGATGTTCATGTAAATGCTAGAGGCACATACAGGAAAATAGGGGAACAACTACACTGCTATCCTTATACCACAAGAGTATTTTGTAAGAAAACAGGCCTTTTTTCTGAGGGTGATGGGAATGTGACCTGTGAGATTCACTTTGTTTTCTGTGGGGATATACGTGGGTATAGGGCCAATAAGGGCTGGGAAGTCCTCCCGGCATAATCTGAGAGTAGATTCCCACTGGGATCTATCATTCCCTGAGTGCTTTTTTTTTTTTTTTGTGGAACTGGGGATTGAACTCAGGCCCTTGCGCTTGCCAGGGAAGCGCTTATTCTACTGAGCCATCTCCCAGGCCTCCATTCCCTGAGTTTGAAGTGCTTTCCTACCAACCAGATTTAACTATAATGTAGGACCCTTGGCTCCTAACACATTTCAATAAACGTTTGGGGAGGAAAGGAAAAACCTTAGAAACGAAACTAGACATCAGCTTGTGAGCAATGTATCAATATTTTTTCAAGTACAAGAAATGACATTCAAATTCCCAGAGCTACCCCTTTGTCCCCAGAACCAGCATCCCCTTACCAACTGCGTGCTTCCTGTCATGATTGTTCAAATTGTTTACTTCTACTTTTGAGTCTTCGATTAAGGTGCCAGGGCTAGTAACTCCTGGGATATTGGGCAGATGGCAGGGTGGGGTTTGAGCCATGGGAGAATTTCGACGATCCAACAGAAATTTTCGATCATAAATGATTCGGGTTCCTGGAAGACAGGGTGAAGAATAGTTTAAAATACAAGGGGCTACCAAAACATAATATGACTCAAAAATTTAGTTTAAATTCCATCTAATCCTAGCCCTTAAGGTTTTTACAGTTTGCATCAATAGGATAAACTAACCTCCTGCCCTTTTTCTTCCTCTTCTGGTGGCAACGCCTGCTCCTCTCTCCACACTCAGCTCTAACATTGCTTTTTCTGTGAAGCCACTTTCCTCCCCCTCCCAACGCCTATCCTCATCTCAGTATGTTATTTCACCTTGTGCTATCCTGTTTATCAGACTCTCTGCAGACTTTCAGTTCGTTATGCTGGGCCTGTTTTATTATTTATCTGACCTGCATTCTATCTAACATTATAATCTTCAAAAACATTTTTGTCTTTTAAGACAAGGCTGGTCCTGAACTCACAGCAATCTTCCTGTCTTAGTCTCCTGAGTGCTGGGATTACAGGTGTGTGCCACCATGCCCAACCAAAAACATTTTTTATTTTATTTATTTATTGATTGATTGATTGGCAGAACCAGGGATTGAACTCAGGCCCTTGCACTTGCCAGGGAAGTGCTTATTTCACTGAGCCATCTCCCAGCCCCCAAAAACATTTCTTAAATGAAGGAATGAACATGTGTATGAAAAAAATAGCCACCTTTAGATTAAAGGCTTTCCACAGAAACACTGAGACTGATATACTCCCCAGAGTTGTGGTAGAATTCTCTAATCTACCAAACAGTTGGCTTTTCAGGAAGAGCTACTAGTGTGTTTTACAAACAATAACCTTATAGTTACAAAAATCTGCTGTGGATAAGTGGCTGACAGGTACATAGACGTACTCAACATCAGTAATCATCAGAGGAATGAAAACATCACACTGAGCTACCACCACAAATCCATTAGGTTGGCTATTATCAAAGACGGCCCAGGACTAATCCCAGCACTTGGGAGGTAGAGTCTAGAGGATCCATGATAGCCTTGATTACATAGTGAGTTGAATATTAGCCTGAACTACACAGAGAGATTCTATCTCAAAAAGGAAAATAAAACCTTACAAGAAGACAATGGAGAGTGCATGACTGTGAGTGTGTGTATGACCTATAAGCCCAGCTACTCAGGAGGCTACCGAGAACTGCAAGTTCAAGGCCAGCCTGAACAATTGAGAAAAATTTTATCTCAAAATAAAAAAATAAGGGCTGGCCAGATAGCTCAGTGGACTAAAGCACCTGCTTAGACAGAGTGCAGCTGCTGGGGTCTGACCCCCCACATGCTCTGTCAGTCCTGCGCTGAAGGCACTCTGAGACAAACTGAGACTGGGCATGGTGGCACGATAATCCCAGTACTTGGGAAGCTGAAAACAGGAGGATCACTACAAGTCCAATCTATGCAGTGAGACTCTGTAGACCCTGTACTAAATACATGAAAAAAATTATGTGTATGTATATAAAATGAGGGGGGAGCAACCTGATATGGACAGAGATGGAGAAATGCAGCGCGCGCGCACACACACACGCATATTATTTAGCCCTAAAAAAGGAATTCCTGTCACCTGTGAGAATATGGGTTAATTTTTGCTAACTGAAACTAGCCAAATAAAAAGATAAATATATCAAGATCTCACTTGAATGTGGAATCTGAAAAAGTCAAAATCACAGAGTAGAATAATGATAGCTGTCAGGCATAGGGGAAGCCAAGAAGAGGCTGAGCAAAAGATATGAGCTTTTAGTTACACTATTCACAATAGCATAAAAAAATTAAGTAGTTAGGTATTAATCTAATTAAACAGTGAAAGACCTCTAAAATAAAAACTGAATCAGACTGAAAAGGAAATTGAAGACATTACAAAAATGCAAACACCTGTTCCCCAACAGGCAGAACCAACACAATCAAAATGGCTATTATTTCCAAACCTGATACACAGATTTAACGCAATACCAATCAAAATACCAATGTCATTTCTCACAGAGTTAGAGAAAACAATCCTTAAAATTATATAGACTCTGATGAGACCTAGAACAGCAGAAGCAAACCTGGGTAACAAAAGCAAAGCAGGTAGCAAATCCCAGTCTTCAAGTTACACTGCAAAGCTATTGCAATTAATGTAGCCTGCTACTGGCACAAAAGCAGGCATGTGATAAATGGAACAGAAACAGAACCACAAACATTCATTGGCAGAAAGATGGATTCTTTAATACAGTAGCCAGTCCCTTGCTATTTTGCAGTATGGCTTTCATGGATTCACTGTTTTGCGGGTTTTCAAAAAATACTTATCTAAATTATTTATCAAGGAATTTTTGCAGTACCACAGGATTTTGCAGTACCATACTGTATACGTATTTTGTTAAAGTTATGTAAATTTACGAGTTTAGAAAGGCTTACAAGGGTGTGGGAGGCGTTTATAAAGCCTTAAAATATATATAAATACTAAAATACATATAACGTAGCTACTTCGTTGATTTTCACTTATTGTGGGATGTCTGGAATGCAACCTCCACAGTAAGTAAGGGACCACTGTAAACTGTGCTAGAAAAACTGGATATTCACATGCCGAAGATTGTCTAGACCCATAAATCTTAAAATTAAAATGGGTTGAAGATCTAAATATTAAACAGAAACACTTAATCTGCTACAACATAAAATAGGTACAACTCTCGAAGACAGAGGGGCAGACAGACTTTCTGAACAGAACCCCAATGGCACAAGAATCATACTGAGACTCAAAAAATAGGATCACATCATATTGAAAAGCTTCTACATAGCAAAGAAAACAAAGTAAACAGACATTCTTGCCAGCTATTCCATGGACAGAGGACTAATATAAAAAATATATAAAGAATTAGGGCTGGTGAGATGGCTCAGTGGTCTAAAGCACCTACTTGGAACAAGCTTGGCAAAGCACAGAGACCGCGGTTCGATCCCCCAGCACCACATGCCAGCCAGCCCCCCCCTGGTGGGCTGAGCTGGCCATGTACACACATACACACACAATAAATAAATAAAATGTTTAAAAAAAAAATTAAAAAAAAAGACCCAATCAAAACATGGGTAACCAAGATGAGGAGATAGCTCAGCAGTATAAGCACCTGCCTGGTAAGCTAAAGGACACGAATTGGGTCCCCGGTATTGCATGCCGTGCAGGCCCCAGAATCCGAGGTGCACTGTGCTGGGGCCCTAAAACCAGGTGTGGTGGCACATGCCTGTAATTCCAGTGTTGGGGAGGCTGAGACAGAGGATCACTACAAGTCTGAACTGCACAGTGAGACCCTGTATCAAATAACTAAAAATAATAAAAATGAAGAGGGGGCTAGCCAGATAGCTCAGCAAATTAAAAGCGCCTGCTTAGGCAGGTGTCCCCAACATGCAATACGACCCACCCCCCGGGGTGCGCTGAGACAGCTTCTGAGACTAAATACAGGAGGATCACTACAAGTCTGATCTGTGTAGTGAGACCTTGTACTAAAATATATTAAAAAAGAAGAGACACTTCTCAGAAGTGATAAAAAAATGCATGAAAAAATGCTCACCATTACTGGCCATCAGAGAAATGAAAATTAAGATCACACTGAGGTATCTATCATCTTACCTAAAAAAAATGGCTACCATTAAAAAAATCTAATAATATGTTGACAAAGACATGGGAAAAATGGGACTTGGCTACAATGCTGGTGGGGATATAAACTAGTACAACCGCTATGAAAATGTATGGTGGCTCCTCAAAAAACTGAAAGTAGACATTGCATATGACCCAGCTATTCCCTCCCTAGCTATTTTACCTAAAGAGTTAAAATCATATTATAGAGATACACGTATATACCCATGTGTCTAGCAGTACTTTAATTAATTAATTAATTAATTTATTTATTTAATTTTGCGGAACCGGGGATTGAACTCAGACCCTTGCGCGTGCCAGGCAAGCGCTTATTCTACTGAGCCATCTCCCCGGCCCCTCTAGCAGTACTTTAGAACTGCCAGTATTGGAAACAGCACACATGTCCATCAACAGATGAACAGATAAGGAAAATGTGGGATTTATATACAATGCATTGCCATAAAAAGGGACAAATTTGAGGCATTGATAGGTAAGTGGATACAACTTGAGAACATAAAGTGAAATAAATCATACAAGCTCAAATACTCCATGGTTTCTTGTCTAGTTATCACACACACACACACACACACACACAGTGCAAAATACAAGATGTAAATATGAAGTAGGGAGTTCAAATAATTCCCCAAATTATGTATTTCATTGTCTTAGAAAAACTGATACATATATTAATTTGCTTCATTCATACTTATAGTTTATCTTAATTCATTGCAACCGGTACTATTTGTTTCTCTTTTGTAAGAATCTTTTGCTTTATATCTTGTACTAAGTACTTTGAAGATAAAAGTGCTATACCTGTTATTCTCTTACTATTTGGATATGACAATTTGTTTTTCATAAAAGGAAAAAAGCTTCAGTTATCAGATGACTACATTCTGCTAACAATGTACATACAGCAAGGCAACTATAATTAACAATACTGTGTCATATGCTTTAAGTCTGCTAAGTAGATCTTAAATGCTCTCACTCCCCCCCCCCCCCACAGGACAACTACAAGATGACAGAAGTGTTAACAAACTCAACTATGGTAACTGTTTCACTATACATACATAATCAAGTTGTACACTTTATTTTATTTTTTTGCAGAACCGGGGATTGAACTCAGGCCCTTGCGCTTGCCAGGGAAGTGCTTATTCTACTGAGCCATCACCCTGGCCCTAAGTTGTACACTTTAAAAAAATTTTTATTTATTTATTTATGTGTGTGTGTGTGTGTGTGTGTGTGTGTGTGTGTGTGCGGGTCCAGCTCAGCCCACCAGGGGGTGGGGCTGGCTGGCATGTGGTGCTGGGGGTTGAACCGCGATCCTTGTGCTTTGCTAAGCTTGTTCTAAGTAGGTGCTTTAGACCACTGAGCCATCTCACCAGCCCCCCCCCCCCTTTTATGAGCAAAATATA